ATTCTGGTTTGAGAACACAGCAGCACAGCCAGACCTCTTCATCTATGCACAGAACTGAGGGGGAAAGGGACACAGCCAGCTGACAGCGGGTGGGAGGGTGGAAACCTGGATCCAGACCCCCAGAGGAAAGCCTTCTCTGGAGCTGGGAGGACATGCAGGGCAGCTGAGAGATGCAGGACACCAGAAGGCTTGCAGCCCCAAGGCTCACGATGCTCAGAGGGCTGTGGTGGCCACATTCCCTTCTGGACAAGCTGCTAAGGGTCTGCAAAGCCTGAGGCCATTGAGGCCACAGCAAACTGTCTACCTAGGAGCTGGCAAAGCCACATGCCACCTGGCAGGCAAGATACTGAAAGGGTTCATTCAATTTTTACTGTGTCTGTGAGACTTCCAGCAGAAGAGTAAGGCCTGCAAAAGCTGCTTTCAGCAAGGAGAGATGGGACATAAGAAGAAGACATCTGACCCAGGAATGCAGTGACAGACAAAATAACTGGGAACTGGGGACTTGGGGTGGGATGTATGGTAATGGGGTAAACTGTTCTATGCACAGATTCACTGTACATGAGTAACCCCCCTTGCAGAATCTCCTGCCTGCACCTTCAGGCCTGAATAAAATTATTTCCTCTTTATCACAACTTTAGTGCTGGAGAGATTAATTCCGATATTTCAGGCATTTAACAGGTACCAGGTGGAGCAGGCCAAAGACACTGGTTCCAGATTTGCATCAGAATTTAGGTTGGATTCCCTCACTCTCAGAGGTCCAAAATCTCTCACAAAAAAAAAGGGTTATATTAAAACATCTGCTCTAGCTCTGAAGGAAAATTAAAACCCTCTCCCTAAAACACACAGCCATCAATTGATTGCTGTCTGGCAGGAACTGCCCTCAAGTTTCAGAAAACACTTGGTTCTTGAGCTGAGTATGTCACTCAGAAAAGAATACAAATTAGTAACCAATTACTGACAGTATTAAACCAAAAAAGTCAAACAAAACTGTGGTCTAAATGTTAGAAACACTGCAAAACAGTGTTTTTGGTTCCTGCTGCTTTGAGATCTTAGTTTTACATTATTGGCAAACTGAAGTGTTCCAAGAGCTTGAGCTGGGATCTCAAAAAAAAATTTTGACTAAAAAATCAGAACAGATTAGAAAACAGCATTTGGCCTCTGTTTTGTTTGCCTTCTAATTTTGGAACTTGTAGTGCTCATGGTTTCAGATTTTGCCTGGAAATATGAGAGTTGGAAGTTTACATTTAGGAGAAAGGAAAGCTGGCATTTTTTTTATCACATGATTCCAAGAGCTGGGGCTTGAGGGAAAAACATAAAACATTGTCAGGTTTTCTACAAAATTGTGAGATTAGCAGTATCAGTTTTATCACAATTTAGGCTGCAAGGTTGACCTATTTTATCAACAGTGCCCTACTGAATATGAATTGCTTTATGAATTTTAAAACCATATTTCATTTTAAATATAGTTCAATTAAAGTGACATTCATCGCCGAGCTTCAAAGCAAACCCTTCCATCACCATCCCGGGCTAGACTTTTTCTCTGAGCAAGTGAACTGCATGACCCCTCCCGACTGTGTTTCAGAGACACGCTGTGAAGAAGGACACCTTTGGGGTGCACTGGGAGACTAGCTCAGCACCATGAGCACCTTCCAAACTTCTCCCACACTCTGCCCCCCTGACGTGACAGCTGCACAGCTCTACACTGCCCCAGGTTCTACACTAAGGGCATCAGGAAGCAGATTATGGCCCCACAAAAGATGAGTAGGTAACCAGGAGAGTTCCCCTGAGGCTCTGAAGGGCAAAATTGAACTGAAGCCAAGAACCTGCCAAGCTGTACTAGGTGTCAGCCTGCTCTACAGCTGCAGATCACTGCCATCCTGAAATACAATCTGAAATCTTTGGGGTTGTTGATGCACAAGAGCTGTGAAAACTCACATTCCAGTTATGGCAGAGCAGCAAGACTAAGGGGTGCAGGGGAGAAGAGCACCAACACTCAGCAGGCAGAAACCTTACAGTGAAAACCTTACACACAGAAAGATTAGGATGAGCAGAAAGCACTGTCCATGAGGGAATGCATCCCAAAGTGGCATAAATACAAATGGGGGAGTGTTAGTTAATTATTCAGAGAAACTCAAACCTCTTTACAAATTAGGTCTAGAACATCCTGAAAAGTAGAAAAAAATTATAAACATTTTCTGAAACACCAAATACCATCTAGATCCCATTTTAGCATTTTGAGGTTGTACAGGTTCTCAAATTTAACCTAATCTGCAACTTTCCTCCAGTTTACTTAACTCTCTATATCAACTCCTTGTTTTCTGTTTTAGTGACATCACTTTCCAATTAATTCAGCAGAGATGTCTTGGACAAGGCACGTCATTTTGAGACTCACATGCCAGGAATATTCTTCTAACCTCAAGGAACGAAAGCATTTTTCTCCAGCATCTCAGAAATGCTAGTTTAATTGAGCTGCAGTTACACGGAGCATCTGCAGTCCGCTGAGGAGGAGAGGAACACCAGTCTCTCCCTGGTTATGTATTGTGTATCAGTGACAGTGTGATGTGCTAAGAAGAAAGGGAACTGTTTCCAAGTTAGCACACTGAGAGAAAGGACTCATAAATCATGGAGTCAGCCAGGTTATGTTTTTTTTTTTTTTTTTTTAACCTTAGGGTATTATGCTTTCAATACAATATTTCAATGGCTTTTTTCTGTGTAATAATTTATATGGAATTACGGCAACTCTTACAAGCTTAGAAAAAAATTGGCTCAAGTAAAACGATTCCTTTGTCATAAATAAATTGAGTTCATAACTACAGCACAATCATTCAACTGCACCTAAGTCAAACAGTTATCCACTCTTCATAGGAATATTTCCCTGTCAATAAATCTAATGCTATTTCAAAACTTCAGGCCAGTGTGACAGAAGCCTGTTAAATTGATTAGGGCAAGGTCAAAAAAGCTGAACTCACAGCTACATTCTTGTCACAGTTGCCTTCTACCTACCATAGCTCATAAGTTGACTTGTGAACTCACTGACCATTTTAGACTTGGGCATGTTAGGGGGACTTCATTGCCTTAATTTATATTCAGAGGATGATTTCTTTAAGAATTGTTTCTTCTCTGACAGTCACTAACTGAGGAGAAATGTTTTGCTTTGTATTCACAGTCAATAAGGATTTTTTAAAATTTTTAAATGTTTTTCCCTTCAGAGTCATGGGTTTCAGCCATGGTTCATGAGACTTCAAGATCATACAGGCATGGAACTGCCCAGATTGCCTGTGCAGTATCACCCAAATTTCACTACAAACAGTTCAGCTCTGTGGGAATGAGCAAACAGTATTGTCTCTCTGCCTGTTCAATTCTTGACCTTTCTTGCCTGACCATCCAAAAGGAGGGTGCCACAAATCTGATGGGGTCTGTGTGAAGTGCACCCTGGAGGTGAAATTCTAACCTCAACAGGGTCAATATTTCATCTGAAACCCCCTGAGACAGACCCCCAAACCATTTCCAAGGATTGCAGCTTCTATCAGATGGTACTTGGCTGACTTTCATTTACTACTGACTTAGGTCAAACTTGGACCAGGGATCAAGAGATGAAAGGCTTTATATCTCATTATCAATAACCAGGGTTTTCTTCACTACCCTAAAAACAACATACTTCATTCTTATCTACAAGGCATTAAAACTTAAAAGGGTTGGGGTCAAATGACGTTACTTCAATTTATTTTTATTCACTGCTTATAAAACAACTTCCTCTCTTGCTGCCATAGCTAAATGCTAAAAATACAAGTATTTTCCTTGCTCTTGTACAGGTTTTGCTATTGTTTTTCTTTTAAAGTCTTATTAAAAACGCAGCAATAAAGAAAAATCAGTTTAGGCCAAATCAAGCCTTACCAATCTCAACATTATTTTCAGCAAAGCACATCTTGTATAGAAATTGCCTTACAACAGAGGGATGGACCTTTCCAGGAGTTTTTCATAAATACCCAAGCCCAGATACAGACAGAATGTCCTCTGGAATGATACAGCCAAGTTTTCTTCTAGTATGAAGCCATACAGCTCCTCTGATTAACTGGAATTAAGTTTTCTTAAATGGGTTACAACTGTTATTGATAATTTTAGACAACTCCCTCTGAAATACTGACAAAAACCTTTGGAAGGAAAATCCTGATTCTAGTAAACAAACAGAACATAGTCTACAGCAACTTGCAGTGCTCTGTACAAAACTGTATGATTAAACAACAGAGATTTTACCCTGGTCCCAGGTAGCTGTAAGAAGTCAAACTTCTCCTTTACTATTCCGTGGAAACCTTTACAGGCAAACTGATTTGCATTGCTCCCAAAACATGGAAGAAAAGTAATGAAATACAGTCAATGGCATTAAAAGAAACTTCTGAATACATTATGGAAGAAAGAGGCTAAATAAAATGCACTGGTTATGCAGGTTTAACAACTTTTTCTACTCCTGGGAATAAACCTGCAGATACCTGGAACTTACACAGCTGCTTTGCTAAATCTAACCAACCTTTTGGCCAACTTCTCACTCACACAATACTTCTCCACAAATAAAACTTCCCAGTCTCCCAACACCTCAGGCAGAGGGAAGAAGGTGCACTTGGTTATCAATCACTGAAGAGAACTGCTTCAGCAAAGCCTCAAAAACAGAGCTGTAGGACATCAGTTCCAAACAAACTCTTTCTGGTAATGCTTTCTTCACTCCTTAGGAAAGAGGATTTGGTCCTGCAAATGCTTTGCTTGCATGACCAGCTCCTCTAACATCATCTTCCTGACACTACCAGAACCATATTAATCATATAAGGCCTTTCAGCAACTGACCTTCTTTTGCTAAATGACAGGTAAAATCCTCTTGTGTTTCCATAAACAAGATGACAGCCAACTGAAGAGATTCTTAAAGAAACGATGTCAACAATGGCTGAGGGGAAGACTGGGGAAGGGAAAGGAAGAGATAACAGGGGCATGGGAGGAGATGTGTCTCTGACCTGGATCTGTTGCTGAAGAAGGTTAATTTTGTGTTGCTGCTGCAGAAGCTGCTGCTGTTGTCTTGCAATCTGTGAAGAAATTGCACAGAAGAGACATGAGATATGGATCATCATTCCCAGAGTCCATCCACAGGAAGCTTCAACCCTGCTTAGTTCTTTAAACCTCTCCTCTGAGCTCAGAAACATTCGAGGGCAGGTGGCAGCAGCCTGGAGACTGCTGCTGAAGCAAGGGGCACATGCTCAATTCATTGCTAATACCAGTGAGAAAGGGAATCTTATGGAAAATGCTGTGCTGGATATGAAAAGACAAGGACCTGTGCAAAAATCATACTGAAATAGCACTGCTAAAATTCCCCAGGAGCGAGAACAATACCAGCAAAGAAATAAAAAAAAATAGTGGAGGAAGGGAGAAAAGGCAAAAAAGTAGGATGGCCAGAAATACGCTTCTGTTTGGCACCACCTGCTCAAAAATTCAAAAAAAAATGGCAATCTGACACCATGGAGGAAGGTTCTTAGTGTACTTTTTTTTTTTTTTTTTTTTTTTAATGTAGAAACAGGCACAAAGACATTGGAACTGAGCTTGGAAAAATCACTGGCTCTTCAATGTGTATATCAGCTGCAAGAAACTAAGGGGGCAGGCAAGGCCACAAGGCTCAACACAAAACGGGTTTATGGAGGTGCATGGAGTCTCCTCTCAAAGCCAAGTGCAGTTTTCCAGAAGGACTTCCACCCTCCCTCTCCCCTAAATGACTGCAAATGCTACTGTAGATGCCTTTTACACCTCATGAAGGGAAAAGCAGACATTAACAGAATGAAATTAGGAGTCCTAAAAGCTAGAGGGAGATAAACCATTCTTGAACTTAAAAAGCAAACTTGAAAATTCAAAGTTGTCGCAAAAGCTCTGCTCCCATGAACAGCCAGTGCAGCAGTACAAATATTAGAGTTCTGCTCTTGCCCTGTGTTACATGTACAAGTCTCAGGGTCAATTGGTAACTTATACATCCTTACTGGGGGAAATTTTGTGTTTTCTTCCCCTTAGGTGTCTTCTTTTCTTTCTACTAATAGACTGTGCATAAGAAACACTCACTCATAGTTAGTTCCACATCTAACAGATGAAATCAAAGTTTTCTTTCTGGAGCTTTTCTTTAAGAAAGAAAAATTATTTTTATCCATACAATTGTTTCAGAGTTTGGATATTTTAATTTCTGTATAATACCGAAGTATACACAATTTCTTCAATTAAAAGAAATCCTAGTTATCCTAATTTCTTATTGCCTTTTTCTATTGTCATTTTCTTTTTCACTTTCAACTCCCTCAGCCATCCTGTGGCACTAGTGACTTTAGGAGGCAGGGTAAAGGGAATAGCTCATACAGGATGTCTCCTTATGAAAGAATCTTGCCAATTCCACCTTCATTCCCTTCCTCTACCTTTGCTGTACTAACAACAGCATGACAGAAATTCTCCAGCTCAAGGTAAGTCACTTCTGTGGGATTTCAAGCGTGAGGCCAAAATACCCTTTGTTTAAGATAAGGTTTTTAAATAATTAAAACCAGGGAAAACCACGGCTTAAATGTCTGAAGGTATCAGCAGTGGCTGAGAAATCTTAAGACTTGCTTAAGTACAATACCAACACTGAATATGACAACTAAGACAGATTTCAAAGAATTTTGAGTTTCATAAAACTCACATAGCTGCAATTCTGTGATAAAATTTTAAACTAGATATCTAAATATTCTCTGCTCATGTTCAAGTACAAAAGTGGACATAATTTCTGTTAAAATCTGCACAATGAAATCTGTGAGAAAAATTAAGTTTTTGCCTAAAATATTGTGTATGCTCCATGTATGCTCATTGGAAGTGCTCACATGTGAAAACCATGTTTGCATTTCCAGTGAAGGGCATATTTGCAAGAACTGAAAATCGAGCCTCTCAAGTGTAGAAGAAAAAAAGTCATATTTGTTCACTGACTTTGTGTTATTCTCTGCCTTTTTCCAGAGTTGGCAAAACCCAACCTCTTCATTTCTCACATTACAATATAAGTGCTGCATTTTGTTCCTTTTATATCTATTCAGTATTTCTGAATTAAAGTCATTTTGGGGAATTATTCAGGAGGGCTTAATTTGCCTGTTTATTTACAGATAGTTTAAAAACCCAAGCAATATTGAAAGATAACACAGAATTGCAGAATATTCTGAGTTGCAATGGACCTCCAAAGACCATCAAGCCCAACTCTTAAATGAATTGCCCAACGCACAGCCTTGGCATTATTGGCACCAGGCTCTGAAGAACTAGAGAACTTTAATTTACAATATATCCAAGATGGATATATTGTAAATTAAATTGTTCTTCTGATATGCTATTGTTCAAACTTTTTCACTTTGAAGAACAAACAGAAAATATTTTGGGTGCAGAGCAACTTTTAGGGTATGAAGCATAAAAGATAAACTGCTGGAAAGCCCTTCTAGAAAGTGATTTAAGCTGAAAGCCCTGTAATGATCACTCACCTGTTCCTGCTGCTGCTTAGCCAGCTCCATTTGCTGGCGTTGTTTCTCGATCTGAGATGCAGCCAGCTTCTTCTGTTCATCATGAGCTGCTAGCAGCTGTTCCCTCAAACTGGTCAGCTGATTGATCATACCCATGAGCTGTCTTTCCTTCTCAGCGAGGCTTTCTGGAGTCCCTGGGCATCATATAGGCGGGGGGAGAAAGAAAAAAATGGGGGGGGGTAAGGAGAAGAGAGAACATTTAGAGCAATCCAGCTCTTTATTTTGCAGCTTTACTGTAAGCAAAGTTTCAGGAAAAGCAAAGAGCAGCAGCAGCAGCATATTGCAATGTGCTGCACACAAAGACCTGATCCTCTCCAGGAAAATGAGCCATGGAGGACAAATCTGTACACAGGCTTTTATCTGGTGTCCCCCTTCAATGGTTCTTTGTCCTTTCATCTGTTTTGCACTGCCTTTCTGTCAGATTAACAGAGTGAAATAATACTGCCTATTTTGAGGAGGTTTCAAGTTTTAAACATTGGGGATCAAAAAATCAGTCCTTCCAGGTTTATAAGACAACTACATTTATGGCAGAAACTTAGAAAAAATATGCAGTTTCTGTCAAAACACTGATGTAGGTTAAGTACTAACATCCCTCTATAACCTGTTATATCATCTACATCCCCAATTAGGATTAAGTTGTATTGTATTTAAATTGTCAATAATTCCTATTGCTGTTACTGCCATCAAGGTGCAATTTAGAAGGAAAAAAGTCTTTTATAAACATATCCAAAAACCTCAGTTAAACACAACTCAACATCACTCTTATTTGTACTGTTGTTAGATGTTTTTTATAGTGGAGCTTGGCCGACACAGAGGAACTCACTACCTCACTCGCATAACCATGCTGAAGAAATTATTTTTCTACCCAGAAGAACAGTGGTTATAAGGGAAAGGAAGCAAAAATTCCAAGGAAAATCAAAAGCTATGAATCATACACTACAAAGAAAAAAGAAAAAAGAGAGGCACTTTGAATATATGTAGGATCATTTGACTTTGAATTTAAAAAACCTGAAAGTATGTGTAGCAGCTAATCCACAGATATCCTCAATAGCACCACACCCTCTCAAATGAGTCAGAGCCTATGAAAACCTTTCTAAAAAGCCTTTAGGAAAGGATTAAGGCTATCAGTGTCAATGCCTCCTCTGAAAATAGCCTGCTTTTGGGACTATCCTGCCATACAAACCTCTTTCAAATACAGGAAGCATTCTTCTGCCAATGTCACCAGTGCACTCCAAGTGAAAAAAAAGGAAAAAGAAAAAAAATTGGCGACTAGAGCAAGCATGTTCCTAGCCAACTATCAGTCAGACGTGGAAAAGAGCTACTGGTAATAGCTCATTTAGCTTACCCCCCTGCCAGTGCAGGAATGTTCCCTGCAATATATTTAATACAGCTTTCTAGATTGGATTGAAATGTCTGTAATGGTGAATCATCTACTGCTTGCTTTGAAAGGTTGTACCACAGCCTCTGAGGTGGCACTGGAAGGGCTCTTTGCTTGATAGTTAGCTTAATTTAATTTTTTTTTTTTTTGTTACTTTTACCTAATTTCAATGATGTGATCACAAGCAACATCCCATTTGCTACATTAGCCAAGTCCAAGCACTTAAATCCATTTGTAGACAGCCATATGCAAGTGGAAAACCACAGAACCACCAGAAAAAAAAAAAAAAGTGACAGAAGAAATGTAAATGAATTGGTTTTTATTAGGGTTCTAGAAATTTCTGTGAAAATATTCTCACCACACAACAAAGAACTATAGCAGAATATTCTCAGATAAATCCTCCAGAAAAACTGTGGTACAAACTGGAAACTTGAGAAACACACTGAAACAGAAACCATAGGACTTTAAACCTGCTCTGCTAAAAGCTGTGAGAAAGAATGGAAGCCAGTGCTAAAACACTATCACTGAAGAAAACACTTCTAACTATGATTTTTCCTTCCAACATTGGAGACAGAGAACTGCTGTAATGCAGTTTGACAAGTAATGCATTTGCCACCTGGCCATGGAATTAACCAGAAGTTTCTACTGCCACTCTTCCATCCTTTGTTTTTCCCTGGGAAAAAAGGTGCAGTGTTTCCAAGTGGTGTAGGAGAATTGTTTTAGCCCCTGCCTTGGCCTGTCCAGGTGGATTTAACATAATGCTCCTCTAATGAACACTACCATGCACTGATCCTGCCACTGCAACTGAAACATCTGAAAACAAACTATTCTGTGTTTATTTATTCAGCAGATATTTTATTCCTAGCTTTTACTGAGCGGTGGATGCAAGCATGAGAGAGAGGGGAATAAAGGTCCTACAGAAAGAAGAATACACAGGGTTGCCTCAGTCTTCGAGTGAGGGTAAGCAGAAAGAAATCACTGTCAAATAAACCAACACACATCACAGCTCCTCACCACTACTGGTTCATGCGTGTATTTTCAGCTCATGCAGCAGCTTCCAGGTGGGAATCAAAAAGCCCTTTGTAAAGCTAAATTAATCCCCATCTTTAAGTTAATCTGCAAGATGGAAAAATGTCTCCACATGTGTAAACTGACAGATAGAGAGATCCCAGTTCCCAGGAGAGGCAGAAAAGCCATGCTGCTCTCCAGCCCTGTGTGCCCGAGCTCTGGCTGTGCTCCCTGGGAGGGAACTCCTTGTGCCACTGACCTGAACAGGGCACAGACAGGGACATCCCCTCCTGCACTGCTTCCTCAGCCTGGCTGGCTCACAGAGCAGCAAAACTTCCCCACCAGGGAAAGGGCAGCTTTACCTGAACCCTAAGAACAAAGTACAGCGTGTAGCTCTGCGTCCTGAGCACAGCAGGGACAGGGATGTGTTGAAGAGCTACAGGGGAGGCCACAGGCATCATCAGAGGGCTGCAGCATCTTTTGTCAGAAAGGCTGAAAGAGTTTGGGCCATTCAGCCTAGAGAAAAGAAGGCTCCAGATACACTTTCCAGTACCTAAAAGGGACTTAAAAAGATGGAGACAAACCCTTTAGCAGGGCCTGCTGTGGCAGGATAGGAGGCAATGGTTTTAAACTAAAAGAGGGTAATTTTAACTTGGATATAAGGAATAAATTGTTTACAATGAAGGTGTTAAAACACTGAAATGGGTTGCCCAGAGAGGTGGTTTCCCCATCCTCAGAAATTTTCAATTCACAGGGCTTTGCACAGCCTAGTGTAATGAAAGGTGTCCTGCCCAATGCAGGGGGGCTGGACCTGATGACCAAAACCACGACTCTGCAAACTCAGAGCAAGCAGGCAGTGCAGGGAAGTGCCAGTGCAGACACCAAAACCACAGGCACACTGCAGCCAGGGACAAATTGACTCAGTCTCTTCATTATTATTCAGTTTTTAAAGACAATCTGAAATGCCCACAAGGGGTGTTTTATATCCTTCTTACTAAGTACAATGCATAATTCCTTGGGTTTATACAGCTGGAGTGAAAATCGTCTGACAAAAGGCAGACTTCTTGCATTATATTTCTCAAGCTATTTCAGTTTGCTAATAAACTAAAAGGGAAAATGTATCAGCATCAGCTTTATAAAAAAAAAATCTTCTCTTGGAGAATAATTCCTGGAAAATATGGCTTAGTAGGTACTTTTTTTTTCACAGGACTAAGCCATCCTTCCAGTAACTGGAATAGTACTTAATGATAATTTCAATTCTTTGAGGTAATAATTCCTTGCAAAATAAGTACTTGGACATCCATACTCTCAAGTGACCTGCACAAAACCAGAGGCAAAAAAAAAAAAAAAAAAAAAGAACAGCTATGTGGCGCTACTGAGAGATGGTGAGTTCTGTGCAATTTCCCCTTGTCTTACTCACACATCTATGTAAGCTCCACTGATGATGAATCATAGTTTTAACATATCTTGCAGGTAACTGGTGGCTTGTAAATGTGTGAAAATGAAAATAAAAAGGGAAGTACTTCAATCAAATGGTCTTGATAATAATGTTAAGTGTTTGCATTTAGTTTAATTTTGGTATTTTTTATGTTAGCCTTATAACCTAGCACACCTTTCGTATAATTACTTCCCTTGAAATGGTCAACCAAAGTGCCATTTCACATTGCCATGGCCAATCATGTATTGCTCTGTAGAGCATACAAAGGCCAAAGCATGGACAGTGTTATTTATTTAATGGTGAGGTGAGGCCAACAGTGGGGTTACTATATAAATACAATCAGTTCTAGGAATTTTTCCTGGTGTATCAAAAATTACTAGAGTTAAGAGCGCCAGTTAGTTTTGTACCCTTTTCTAGATGTTGTAGACTGGGGGTAAACAAGGATGGTGGACTTTTGTCCTACCTTCACTATTTTCTCTGTGTTAACCTGCACGAGACCTAAACCTGTGTCATGGTGTGAAGTGTCTTGACACCTAAGGGATTTCCATTTAAAGAATTCTGTAGCTTACAGGGCAAAACATGTCAGTATTTCAAACAACTAAGCCAACAACAAATAAAGACAGTTGCTCAAATTATGCTACTCACGAGTTAATGAACTATCCATACTGCTGCTAACCCTGCTAGAACTTGGGAGGGGGTGCAAACCCCTAGCCCCAGCAGCCACCTTTAGCTGCTTCTTTACTAAACTCCCTGGGGGCTGCTCCAAGCAGCATGGAGCTGGGAATGGTTCTGGAGCTGGCCTTTACATGTCACAGTGCTCTCACTCCAGCCAGGCAGTAGCAGGGCTGAAAAAACCCCACGTGTCCATCACTGCAGAGTACAGCTTGACAGCAAGGTAGACCACTTCACACAAATACTGAGTGAGAGCCTCAAAACAATGCCCGCCTCAAGAATTAATCACCCTCAGAGCCAGACAAACAGATATTGCACATTTTATGTCTAACAAAGCTTTTAACCACCAGGCCACCTACCCTTCAGGGGATTGCTGTAGATGCTCTCTGTGCTCCTTCACTGCAATGGCAAAACAGGAATTTTCCACAACTGATGGAAACAACTTGGGCAAAGGACCATTAAAGCACACACTGCAGGTTGGGAACTGCATAAAGGCCCAAGAAAAGATGCCTTCCAGAGGCATCAGCTTGTCCTCTATTACCACGAAGAGAAACTCAAAAAAACCCCATGTTTGTGGATGCAACACCCACAGCAGATGGCAATAAAAGACTACTCAAATTAGTGGCATTCTGTATCAC